TTGTCTGGGGTTGTACATAAGCTCCTCGTCTTGTGAATTAAGGGGTCAAAGAAAGTTCGGCGGGGACCCTTGGTTCGGGAAATCTCTGTAGGAAACATCGAGCTCGCATTTTATGTTTTGTATGAGTTCAATCGGAAACCACCAAGTCTGAATGAACTTGACCGCTGGAAGGCGACTGAGCTTCGTTTCTTTTTGCTTTATGGCGGACCAGTTGTCTAGACGAAAATCGTTTATAGGATGTTTCAAAACTCTCTTGCTTTTTATGTAGCAATCACCAGTCTGGCTACTCCTAGTTCAAGTTCAGATGATTTCGGCTATGCCGATAGTCTGTTGATGTCTTTCATCAAAGTCTTTTCAAAGATCTATGGACAGGAGAATGTCTCGCACAATGTCCACGGGTTGTGCCACTTGACAAGCGATGTACGCTCGCGTGGTCCTCTGGATTTGTGGTGCGCCTTTTCATTCGAGAACCCCATGGCTGCACTGAAAATGATGCTTAGAAAACATGGGCTTCCATTGGAGCAGCTCTGCAACAGAATTGCTAAAGAGAAAAATGTAGCATCAGGGAAGAAGGCAAACATCCAGGCAAAGCTTTCCTTCGATGTTGAACATGAGGATGGCCCCTTGTTGCCACAATGTCAGGGCCCTCAATTCGGACGCGTGACTGTGCAGCACAATTTTTTTTAAAGAGAGGTAAAGGGGACATTGTATGCGTTTTGACGATGGTGCCTTCGTTAAGATTGAAAACATCGCTTAGTTCTCAAGATGAGGTTTTCCCTGCATCATTGGTCGCAAATGTCTGTAAGTGAATTATTTTTACACTACTCCTTGCTTTTCTTCAATCCTCGGTATCCTTGAAGTTTCTGGTTCGTCAAGCATGTGTTGCTGGCCCACTTGACAGCGTATCAAAGAAGTGCTTATAATTCATTTTTAACAAGCGAAACATCGTTTTTTTTTCATGTTCACACAAAATTGTAATTTGCACTTCGTGTTTTCTAAGCCAAGTGTGTACTGTGAAACAATAAAGTGTAAGTGGTTAAGCTTGGCGGCGATGGTACATCAAAGATGAATCAACGATGATTGGTGGTATTGGCCTCCCGCAAAAGGTTCGAAGATAATTTACATGCTTACTAAAAGACGCGAAAAACACAGGAGAATGGAAGCGTGTGCTGGGCATTCCAGTAGCATCATTTCGGTAGTATGATGGTTCTTCTTTATAGCTCCAGTTTATTTCACCAAGAGCCCAAAATGGGGGAAATTCAAAGGATACTTTCTGTGTGTTACTATCAAGCATTTTAATGTAAGCTGTTTATTCTGATGTGGTCAAAGGGCAATAAAAATTAACACACTGCTGCATGTATATATGGCATCATGAGGCACATACAATTTTTTTGTGTTTCAGTAGGCAAAACAATGTCACGAGTAGTTATTTTAAATAAGCTCAATAATTAACTGCTATAGGTTTTTTTTTTCTCTCTTTGCGCTGAATAATTAAAGCAGCGTGCCGCAGACAGCTTAAAACGTCGAGCATTATGTTCTCAAAACTGTTGTTTTAGCGTTCGGTTTGGCTTTTTGGGTGGGTTTTCTGGGAAACACTGCTTATTTTTAGTTGTTTGGCGTGTTCCCATGTGTGATCCCGAGTGCAGAGAATTTCACTATTGTTTGCGTGTTTATTTTTATTTTCTTTCATAGCCATGCATTTGCATGTCAGACGTGTATTTTCCAATTAGGTGAGGAATAAAACTTGAAAATTTTGAGATATTCTGTTTGGTACACTGTAAAAAATGTACGTAAAATCTACATGCATTTTCACAATAAAAAAATACGACGCGCCCTCCTATTTTTAAAACACGAGTTGTGATCGTTTCTCGGAGTGCGCGGGGCGAAAAGCGCGCGCGGCGAGCCGAGAGCCCGCGGAGCATGCCAGGCGCCAGGACGCCGAGCATGCGCAGAGAAGGGCGAACCCGACCCGTGCTCGACGCCACCACCACCTCCGACGCCCGGAGGCCCCCCTCTCCCTTTCCGGCGCATCGTCGCGTTTGTTCATGTACCGCCGCGTGTAGGACGTACTAACAAACTTTTTCTTTTCGTTCTCGCGGCAATCACAACCTCGTGGTTTTTGGCGTTGCCTTATAAGCCGTTCCCTCCATTCGTTCCTTGCGGGAAGCGACGTCCAAAGGTATGCACTACTCCAACAAACTTTCTATATAATATCGAAGACAATATGAGCGTGAACGCGCCTCCGCTTGTCACTGCGCAAGCGCGTTCACGCTCATACCGTTTCCGATAGCACTTGACCCTTTCGCACCGCAATCGAAGCATCGTGGTTTTTGGCGTGGCCTGTTTGGCTGTATCTAGCCGTTCCCTCCGTTCGTTCCTGGCGGAGCGACGTCCAAGGTATGTGAACACTACTTTATTGCTTCAAAGAAACATCGAAAGGCATAAAAAGAAGGATGGAGCTTCTTGAAATCGGTACTCCAAAGAACATGTTGTATACGCTACAAAGTGCTACTGGTCCCCGCTCTGCATTGCCGTAGGTAGTGTCTGCGGTGCTGCATGAGGACCGAGTGTGAGTGCGTCCTTTTGAATAACTATTGTATTTAAAATCCAATAGATTTGGCGTGTCTTTGAAGGTTCAACACTCAAACGTGCTTACTTGAAACTGGTCATACAAACAGTTTTGAGCCAAGAGTATTATGTTTTTTCTCTTATTCGTCAACTCTGAAGCCGTGAAATCTTAAAAACAGAACAAGAACGGCTACCGTGCATATTTTCGTTGCCGTCGGCTCCGGTAATGTAGTACTGAATGCAAAAAAGAAGCCTCCTCTATCCTACAAGAGGCTGGTGTCCAGCAAAATAATCGCGTTAAATAATGATTTGATCGAGGCGTTTGAAAAATCGTGCATTTCTCGAAACAATGTTAGGGCCTTCTTCTTGCAAATCTGGATAGCTCGCCGAGTGAATTCCTGTGCCCCTTGTAAATCGCGAGCGATCTCTCTGTGTGTTGCGCTTGTAGATCAAGAGACGAACTGATGTGCCCAAGGAGGTGGAGCGCGTAGAGCGGTTGGAAGAAATTCGCTGCGTAGTGGTTCCGCATAGGCTCGCGCGGTTGACGTATGTATATTCACTCGCGACATTTCGGTTTCGATGTTTATGCCGCCGTGTTTGTCACAGCCGCGACAGCGTTCGTATCCATTTCGCTAGCAGTACTGTTGATGTCATGTTATCAGGTGGGTGCATTTATGTTACACGAGCCATACGAACGTGCTCACGGTGCCCACCGTGCTACCCAAGTTTGGTGCCGACGCTCTCGCCTAATAATCGAAGTTGAAATCGGAATCCACTAATAGGTACTTGGGAGGGTACGAGTTTCGTCATTGTTCCGTGGGGAGGGTAACAATTCGTTTTTTAGCTAAGGCAGCAGAACCGTAAGTTATGTACCGTATGTCGGATCACGACGCGACGTCATCGCCCGAGATGGTTTCCGTGCAGCCCATGAAGTATCGCCGCAGAGCTCGGCAGTGGCAGCGGCTGCCAGAGGACAGAGCAAACTCGTTTGGTGCAACATGTGCCGCTGAGCTCACTCGCGGAGGCTGGGCGCTCGAAGCTGCGATTCTGCGAGCGCTCTCGGTTCGCAAAGGGAAGGGGCTATAAAGCGGTCCAACGGTTGTTTTTGCCATTTCGTTCTGGGGACGCCCAAACAGATAAGCAAGACGAAAAAAAACAAAAAAAACAGGTGCAATCTTTTTTTGTGTCTGTAATGTAGATTTTTCATAAATAAACGTTTCTTCATTTTCAAATATTTGTTCATCTGGGTAATTGTTCATGTGATCTGTAAAATTAAATCTTCATCGCAATTATATCGTTCATCGCCAGCTGCAAATTTTGCCAGCGTGCCAAACGTGCCGGCTTTTACGGTCGCACGGAGCAGATTTATGCAGACGGTAAATTCAAAAAAGTTTCCGTTACCTGGACCATGCAAATTCAAGCGTGTACATAATATTAATTTGTTTTTCGTAACTTTTTTCCCCAAACATATATCACTGTTTTGTGTGACTATGTGACCCTGTGTTATGTTGTGGCGGAAAGTGAGTCATGTAGTATAACTGACATCAGCAACATCTCAAATTATGTGTACACCACTTGACTAACTCTATCAATGAGTGTGTTGATATAATTAGGCCAAACATCAAAAGGCAAAACGGATGTGTGCAGCTCTCCGGAATCAGACAGTGCGTATTTTCTGGTCTACAGTCCGTAGACTATGCATGTATAAAAGTTGTTTTTTTATGTTGTGCAGACTATCTACAGATACGGGTTATACTATGCAATAATTTTTGTTTCTAGATCCTTCGTTAGCACCAGACTGGTCTGATTGGCTTGCAGATTTTAGAATGTTTTATGCCGGGATTAAGAAGTGAACGTCACACTTTCAATCTGTTGCTCAGGCTTTCTATGCCTTGCGTGTGACACACTGCTTGCTTGGATGCCTGCAAGCGGTCAATGTGGGTCAAGCTGAGAGCTCTGTGGTTCACCCAGGAGAGCTGCACAAGAAAATCCAGACTTTCGTCCGCAAATATCTTTTGTGCGAGAGGTGCGGACTGACAGACTATGGATGTTAGCTTTTCAGCCTATGTTTTGCCCTGCGGACTATGCATTGAGCGCCAACTATCCAAACGAAAACTTATTTTTTAGGCAAAATTGGCTCCTAGGGTCTTTAAACCGGAAAATACAGTACTTTAAAGCACTTGTTGCTTACGCTAGAAAGTTAAACGAACCCTGCCGTCAGTGTTCACTGTCTTCGGAGCAATAACTTTCCTATCAATCATGTTCGGGAACCGACAGTTGGAGCTTAGTCATTAAAATCAGCATAACATGCTGATGATAATTTAACAAAAAGGGCTTTCGCACCGTCCTCCCTGGAAATTATTTTGCGCGCCTAATTTTTGTTCCTGTTTCCCCAGACCTACAGAAGGGCTCTTTATGTCCCTCTGTCCGATGGTGGTCGCAAGCGAGGCCTGCACCGTTATTGCCATCACCATAGTCTGAAGGTACGTTTACACCACTTGACCACTTCCATAGGCGAGTGTGCTCAAACATTAAAGGGCCAAATGCCAGCGTGCTGGTCTTTTACATTGGGCAACACTCCAAACCATTTGTTTTATAGGCAAAAAAGAAGTTTTGCACTTGAGCGGTCAGCGGTGGTGGTATTTCACTCTCTGCGGAGTTGTAACTTTCTTGAGAATCATGCAAGCGCAGCACAATTTGAAGCCAAGCAACCATAACATGCGGATGGCCAATTCACATACTCTTTCCTCTGTGGCAACTACTGCAGGCGTCTAATGTTTCTCTTTTTTACCCAGACCGACAGCAGGGCTCTGCCTGGCTCTGAGTCCCTCTGTCCAGTGGTGGTCGCAAGCGAGGCCTGCACCGTAATTGCCATCACCACAGTCTGAAGGTATGTATACACCACTTGACTACTTCCACAGAGGAGTGTGCTCAAACATCAACGTGCCAAATGCCAGTTTGCTGCTCTTTTGAATTGGGCAACACTCCAAACCTTGTGTTTTATAGGCAAAAAAGAAGTTTTGCACTTAAGCGGTCTGCGGTGGTGGTATTTCACTCTCTGCGGAGTTGTAACTTTCTTGTGAATCATGCTAGATCAGCGAAATTTGATGCCAAATCAATAGCAACCATAACATGCGGATGGTTAATTCACATACTCTCTCCTCTGTGGTAATTACTGCAGGCGTCTAATGTTTCTCTTTTTTACCCAGACCTACAGCAGGGCTCTGCCTGGCTCTGCGTCCCTCTGTCCAGTGGTGGTCGCAAGCGAGGCCTGCACCGTAATTGCCATCACCATAGTCTGAAGGTATGTATACACCATCTGACAACTTCCATAGAGGAGTGTGCTCAAACATCAAAGGTCCAAATGCCAGCGTGCTGCTCTTGTAAATTGGGCAACACTCCAAACCATGTGTTTTATAGGCAAAAAAGAAGTTTTGCACTTCAGCGGTCTGCGGTGGTGGTATTTCACTCTGTGTGGAGTTGTAACGTTCTTGTCAATCATGCTAGAGTAGCGCAATTTGAAGCCAAATCAATAGCAACCATAACATGCGGATGGCTAATTCACATGCTCTCTCCTCTGTGGTAATTACTGCAGGCGTCTAATGTTTCTCTTTTTAACCCAGACCTACAGCAGGGCTCTGCCTGGCTCTGCGTCCCTCTGTCCAGTGGTGGTCGGAAGCGAGACCTGCAGCGTAATTGCCATCACCATAGTCTGAAGGTACGTATACACCACTTAACTACTTTCACAGAGGAGTGTGCTCAAACATCAAAGGGCCAAATGCCAGCGTGCTGCTCTTTTAAATTGGGCAACACCCCAAACCATGAGTTTTATAGGCAAAAAAAAAATTTGCACTTGAGCGGTCTGCGGTGGTGGTATTTCACTCTCTGCGGAGTTGTAACTTTTCTGTGAATCATGCTAGAGCAGCGCAATTTGAAGCCAAGCAACCATAACATGCGGATGGCTAATTCACATACTCTCTCCTCTGTGGTAATTACTGCAGGCGTCTAATGTTTCTCTTTTTTACCCAGACCTACAGGAGGGCTCTCCCTGGCTCTGCGTCCCTCTGTCCAGTGGTGATTGCAAGCGAGGCCTGCACCGTAATTGCCATCACCATAGTCTGAAGGTACGTATACACCACTTGACTACTTCCACAGAGGAGTGTGCTCAAACATCAAAGGGCCAAATGCCAGCGTGCTGCTCTTTTAAATTGGGCAACACTCCAAACCATGTGTTTTATAGGCAAAAAAAAAGTTTTGTACTTCAGCGGCCTGCGGTGGTGGTATTTCACTCTCTGCGGAGTTGTAACTTTCTTGTGAATCATGCTAGAGCAGCGCATTTTGAAGCCAAATCAATAGCAACCATAACATGCGGATGGCTAATTCACATACTCTCCTCTGTGGTAATTACTGCAGGCGTCTAATGTTTCTCTTTTTTACCCAGACATTTGTAGTTAATTTGTGGAATTGAAACAAGCCCACAGACATCAAAATAGCTTGTAAAGTGGGACACCTGTTCTACAATTTAAATGGAACACAGATTCGACAAACATTTTGCTATTTTGGATCGTTGACTAATGGAAAGCTGGGTCAATTAAACTAGGATGTCAAATAAACACATTTAACGCACACTTTCAGTGTAGGAATCTGCCTTTTCTGGACATTTGATACTTTATGAACCTCTGCCGTTGGTTACATAAGCACAACATTATGGCAGTATTCATCAGCTATGTTATTTCTTATTTCAAAACCTCTCCCATTTCAGGCCGGAAGTTCACGTCATTAAAACTGCCTGCATCATGTACAGTTGCCATGTGTGCAAGCTGCAACAGAAAAACTTGTACCACTATGAGAGACAGTATAGGCTTCATTCAACAAGTCACAACCTAAGTTTGCCCTGCTTGAAAGAATGGTGTAGCAGGTCTTTCCGCTCATTCAATGCGCTAAGAGTGCATACGTCAAAATGTCACAGTCAGCAGAAATCTTATCACGACGGGAGAGAATATGTTTGCCCTCACGCATTCCGCTCACAAAAGGTTTGGAGCAGACTGGAAATGACCAAACATATCAAAGGCCACATCAGTTCAGGCCTCAAGACAAGTTGCTTCATGGAAAACTGCAGACGGCAGTTCCATAACTCAAATACATTCTCAGCGCACATGAGTCGCTGTCATAGTCACCCCAAAAATCAGTCTCGCTTGCTACGGTAGTGTAGTTTGTGACGTAGGTTCAGCTAGGTGGTGGATTTGTTTTGTTAAAATAGTACCAAAGAAAACACTTACCTCAGCAAAGAGTTGCAAATAAAAACAATATATTTGTTATGGACCAACGTGGTTTTGAGCTTATTCAGATTAGAGCTTGAAAATGTTGTGAGCCGATGGGACGTTCGAATTAGCTCAAACATTGAAGGTAGGAACGAAGACACTTATCACTTCACTCTCATCACCCGGTTTGTCTCGTATATGGTTTAGTGCCCCTCAACCGCGTTTTTAAACTTCCACCTGAGACAGCCTTAATTCCATGTCTGTCCGTAGGAAACCTATTGTATTTATTTGTAACATTTGACCGGGGCAAGTTTCTCCTTCGAAATTTTTATAAAAGAAATCCACCACCTAGCTGAACATACCGTAGTATACCGTGCATCCGCCCACTCTCCACTAAGTGCCCATTCCCAAATTTGTAATATCTGAGAAAGTCTGCGCAGTACGTTGAAATGTAAAATTAATAACCGGAAAAGCGCCCATCTCCCATTTTTTTTGCGATTATGTCTAAATATTGAGTGGGCGCTTGCCCGGTATTTTACGATACGTCACAAATTACAGTGCCGCTTCTCGCGAAAATGGGTTAGATTCCCTTTGGTTCTCGCTGTAGAATGTTTAAAAATTGGAAGACTTCCTTTGTTTTCCATAGTTTATACGTATCATCAACCTGATTACTTTTTATATGCCATATTTTTTTAGAGTGATTAGTGGGCAGGTTTCATATGTTGCCCTAGTAGTCTTAAAATAGTCTTGTTTTCACCTGTAGCATATGTGACTTGCTGTAATTTGTGGATGATTTCTAAAAGATCCTAAACACAACACCTGGCCTTGAGGTGTTGGGATCAACGAAAACTGCATTTTCCCTGATAACCGCAGGCTTTTTTCAGATTAAAGCGTAGGCTGGGGTCCTGACAAGCCATTCTTTTTTTAACCGGTCCGGGCACATCGTTTTTTTGAAGGTAAACTACGGTCTTTTCCAAGTGTCTGCTCCTTATTCATCATAGACATTATTTGCTGCACTAAATTTTTCTTCTCTTCTGAAATGTCAATTGGTTTTCAACTAAATCTAAATATTCCCCGGCAATTGCAGGTTTTCTGCACGTAAAGCGCATGATGGAGCGTGGACAAGTTTTTTGTTGTTTTAATCATCCAAGGCATGGAGTTTTACTGAAAGTGAGCTATGGTCCCGTTACAAGTGGTCCATGTTTTATTCGTCAGACATTCACTGTGTCAGGTTTTGTCTTGTTCCTCTTGTGCAATATCAACTTAAACTCCATTTTTCCTGATAAGCGCAGGTTTCGTCAGACGAGAGCGTAAGCTGGGGTCCGGACAAGCTGTTATTTTTTTTTCTTAAACGGCCCGGGCACATTGTTTTATCGAAGGTGAGCTATGTTGTTCTTTAAGTGTCTGTGCCTTATTCGTGACAGACATTATTCGCTGCACTAGATTTATCGTCTGAAATGTCAGTTGGTTTTCAACTAAATCTGCATTTTCCCTGGCAAATGCAGGTTTTCTGCACGTAAAGTGCAAGATGGAGCGTGGACAAGTTTTTTTGTTTTTTTAATCGTCCAAGGCATGGAGTTTTACTGAAGGTGAGCTATTGCCCATTACAAGTGGTTGTGTTTTATTCATCACAGACATTATTAGCCGCATCAGGTTTTATCTTGCTCGTCTTCTGAAATATCAATTGGTTTTCAACTAAAACTGCATTTTCCTGTTAAGCGCAGGTTTCTTCAGATGAAAGCGAAGACTGGGGTCCGAACAAGGTGTTCTTTTTTTTAACTGGCCCAGCCATATTGTTTTATTGAAGGTGAGCCATGGCCTCCTACCCGCCTTACTTGTCACAGACATTATTTGCTGCCCTAGATTTTTCTTCTCTTCTGAAATGTCAGTTGGTTTTCAACTAAATCTGCATTTTCCCTGGCAATTGCAGGTTTTCTGCACGTAAAGCGCAAGATGGAGCGTGGACAAGTTTTTTTTTTTTGTTTTTTTAATCGTCCAAGGCATGGAGTTTTACTGAAGGTGAGCTATGGTCTCATTACAAGTGGTCTGTGTTTTATTCATCACAGACATTATTAGCCGCATCAGGTTTTATCTTGCTCGTCTTCTGAGATATCAATTGGTTTTCAACTAAAACTGCATTTTCCTGTTAAGCGCAGGTTTCTTCAGATGAAAGCGTAGACTTGGGTCCGAACAAGGTGTTCTTTTTTTTAACTGGCCAAGGCATATTGTTTTATTGAAGGTGAGCTATGGTCTCCTACCCGCCTTACTTGTCACAGACATTATTTGCTGCCCTAGATTTTTCTTCTCTTCTGAAATGTCAGTTGGTTTTCAACTAAATCTGCATTTTCCCTGGCAATTGCAGGTTTTTTGCACGTAAAGCGCAAGACGGAGCGTAGACAAGTTTTTGTTTCGTTAATTGCCTGAGGCCCGAGGCACGGTGTTTTACTGGAAGTGAGCTGTGGTCTGTGTCCTATTTGTCACAGACATTACTTGCTGTATCAGATATTTCATGCCTCTCTCCTGCAATGTTAATTGGTTTTCAACTAAAACTACGTTTTCTGTGATAAGCGCAGGTCTCCTCGGAGGAAAACACTAGGCGCCGAGATGTGCTGGCCTTCCCTTATGGTCCAGACCAGTTGTTTTCCTCAAGGTGAGCTGGTCTCTCTTTGCAGATGGACCAGGATTATTTGTATTGTGTGCATGTCAGGCTCACCTTGTTTTGTATTGTTTCGACAGCCTTGTGCTTACCTTATGACTATATACATCTTTCTTTTGCATACGCAGGGAGCATTGAGATAGCCCTACACCTCGGAAGAAGTACCCATAAACGAATTTTAGATATAATAAAGAGCTATTACAATTTCCCTCGTTTTTTGTTGTTTAAAATAAGCTCGAAGAAAACAGCTACAAAGAGCTAAAGAAAAAAATTTACAAACGACCGACCAAACTATTTTGCATTTTCACTGCTGTCTCAATTCTGAACCCTTTCTCAAGGGTGTTTATGTTGTGAGAATTTGCTGCCGATATGATGCTTTAATATGATCCGGCCAGCTTGAGCTGCACTTTCGAAAACCTCCAGGTCGCTCTGGTCTGTTGCAACTCTAGAACAGTAAGAGCAAGCCCCTCCCACAGTGCCCGCCACTCTTTCAACATCAGCAGAGCGGAGGCTGGAGAGTAGGGGAGTGGGGAGGAGAAAACAACCAATCATGGTGCAATGGTGGTTTGCTTCTCTCCACTTACCTATTATTCTTGGGTTGCAACAGATTTTAGCAGCTGACAGCTGTGTCTGCAGGTGCATCACATGAGAAACACTGTAGCTAGCTGCTGTTTTGCTGCACCCTATCTCACCTATTTTGAAGTTAAAGTTTCTGTGCCAATTATTTTCTCTTCATTTTAGACAAAGCAGCAGAGCTGCTCCAAAGTG